ACGGCCTGGATCGCGTGCAGATAGAATGCGAATTCGCCGATATGTAATTATTCATGTCGTGAATCGTTGAGCATTTGAATCACGTCATTCCCATCAATTATTCGATCGATTACAATCTTCATCTGACTACTCTCTGATTTTGTAACATAGTTATACATATTTGCGTATGTAATATGATACATTCATAGCGACACATTTAATTTCGAATCGATCTTTTCTCGATAATCACTTTACAATTAGCGATCGAAAATGAAGAATGATCTAAGTATTTAGAAAGAAAATAGGCGATGAAATCATTATCGAATTTGACAATATGATGTGTATTTATCAGATGATAACGAACTATTCAAATATCAAAAGTGGTTAAATAATATATCGGAAAATTACTAGTTGTTGCAATAATAAATTATAAATCCGTCATTTTCAAAATGACAACGAAATACGGTCTACAAAATGCGACTGACGTCGAAAGGCGAGCCATATATGACACATTTCGCTTTCCAAGATGACGATCAACAGTATGTCGAAATGATCAATGAGTCGTATGATCGTGAGGAATCACCTTCTTCACGATGCTCTCGCATGACATTATGCTACTTTTCGGACGCAACTAGTTCACGCGACGAAATTGTATTGAGAACCGGCCGATTTCGGGGCGGTTACAACAAATGTGGACTCGCGTGCAAGTGTGGATTTTTCGTTCGCTAGTAAAAGCTACCAAAGGAACGCTCTTCGGGTCCCGTTCTAAAGAGCCACGGCCTCTCTGACGTACCGTTAACTCTGCTTCTCTTCGATGATGTGATCTCGTTCATCTAACCGACCTCTCCCCAATTAGGAACGTTCGCACGCTCATCGCGAATTAGCCAGTATCGATCTGTTACGAAGAAACGGTCTCCTTCGCCAGATGTTCGACGAGTCAAACTTCCGTTACAATGAAATTCCATCGGACCAGATGTAAGGTGTCGTTACACTTTTGTAGACTAACCGTAGACTGTAACTTGTAAAACGTGAAAAAAAGAAACATTTACACACATGCTCCTCTTGTAATTAGTCTAGTCTTGGGTCAGTTTCATTAAAGGGAAAGGCGGTGAATCTGGGTCACCTTGCACACACGACACTTTTCTATGAAATCGTATCGCTGATAAGATTCCATGCAAGGTTCGAATGCCGAAACTTTGATCGTGCGATAATTTCTCTCTTGCTTAACAATGAAATTTGGTAATTTGTATTTTTGTTCGTATTTGCTCAATAAGAGCAGAAAAAGATTAATTAACAACGTTGCGCAGTAAGAATATATATCCCGTCTTTATCTTATCCCATATATTTATTTTATCTTTAAAGCTCACAATTAGCTCAATAAACGAACGAGGAAATAATTCATTATAAATGACGAAGAAGCGAAAAAAGCGCGTATTATCGAACGGTTCTGTAAGAATAACTTATGTACCGTAAGGCAATTATCATAAATCGTGCGCTGGATATTGGATAAACTTAATGATCGGTCTTTATTAAATCGTCGATCTCTCTGAAATGAACTTTGTTACGATCAAAAGTTTAATTTTCTTTTTCGAACAATTTACGAACGTATCTTTACCGATAGGTTTTCTTTGTAGATATAATAGAGAGATAATCGAGAGAGTTTCCGCGTGCATTTTTTTCTACATGAAGCAGTAACAGATAATTAGGGCATTGCGTCATCGATTGCGAAAGTAAGCAATTTGAAACATAATCGCACTATAGTGCGATATCTAGCTTGAGATAAATAAGTCATTCATTTCGGAATTAACACGAGAGTCAAATTGTAAAGTATACCGATATAAATAAAGGTGAATTGCTCTTCTCGTAAACAAGTTATACAATTATGCTGTAGACATCTCTTCTTCTCCCTATCTGTGGTATCGGGGTGATTTCCCTTTTTCACCGCTCGTTTTGTGAAGCGAGCAAAAAGTCGAGAGACGCGCTCGCCTAAGTCATTATCGCACGATGGTCGATACTCTCTTCCGACCGGGAGATCCCCCGGAGGCCTTTCCGATTTTCCTTTTGCCAATTTCTCCCGTGCAATCTGATAGACTAGTCTGGCGGCATCGAAGACAAACCCGACGCTGATTCCTTTACTCTTTTTCGATCTTCGTGAAACGGGTATCTCGACCAGTCTTGACTTTGTTTTCACGAGTCATAATCATAATAAGAACGTGCGTCAATCAGTCTGTCAACTCATTCCCATGACTTCATTAAGCCACTACAGCTTCTTCATTGAGTGCAATACACTCGACGTTAGAGATTCGCGACTTCCGTTTCTTCTTTTTCCTTCCACTCTGAAGACAACAATCGGTCAGATCTGGGTCGTAAGTTCAGGACATACTGACAACTTCTTGGCCCGCAAAGAGACGGACATTAACCATGTCAAGCGCTCGAGATGGTAAAGGACAACGGTAGAAAATAATCCAATCTGCGGTTTGCATATCCGGAAAGTATATGACTTGGTAATTGAGACGCCAATTAAAATTTTGTTGAAGTCATATCCTCTTGAACCTAAGCGAAGAATACAGCTTAGTTTGCCATAGAGAACCGTTATCTTTAATCCCTGTAATGGAAAAGTATGCATGCCTCGACATTCTTCGTCACAGAAAAATCGACCCCAAGTTGGCCACAGAGTCTGTCATTAAAAAATAATGTGGCAGAAGTGGGACACTCTGTATGTACGTGACGTGACGTAAAATTCGCGCGCAGTCATTACAAATGTATCGTCCAAGACCGTGCGCTAAGAGTTAAGTGTCACCACTTTCCAGCTGAGTCTCAGCGGGTCTACGTACGCGATAATCTACTTCCTATCTATTTTTTTATGTCAACGCAGAATATATCGAGGGAAAACCATAAGCCACTTACGACGCTGTCAAATAATCATTATAATCAAAGGACGTGAACATAGTAGTTTCGCGTCTCAGGAATCTATAGATAAAAAACGATTTCGAAAGATGCAAGTAATAATTTCCATCGCTGCGGCTGTCACTAAATATAAAATTATCGGGCGATTGCGTAGATATATTTGCGTAATATTATATGCGCAATAAGAGAATTTCCGAAGTCATTCTAAATGATTACAGTAGTCTTTATCGAGAAAAAAAGTTAATTGCAAAGTTAAATGAGATGGACATTGCAATTTTGTACAAAATTTACACGCAAAAATGCATATTTATATAGTGCTATTTCAACCGCTTTGAAGCATATAGTATGAGTCACTCCAAAATAATTATAAAATATTATAATTATTTAGCGCTGATATTGGAGATATGCAAACCTATGCACATATATTTTAAAAAATATTATAACATTTCGATTTCCAATTTTTATAATGTTAGATTTTTGGGAAAATCTAGTATTTGATGAAAACACTAAATTGAAATAACTAATATTGTGACATGTCAATATCAAAGAATAGATCTTGTTCTCTTTCTATATAACATATAAAGTTTCTATATAACAATCTTATCGTTGTGCAATATTATGGCATTAAGCTATTATTATGTAACAGCAAGTGGCAGATACATTCTCAGAGAAAATTATATTATTATTACGCATTAATGTGTGCACTTCAAGATATTTGAATTTACAAGCGCGCTGACAACTCCAACTTTCTCACGAGGTCTTAATGATAGGCGTCCACTTGTCACATGATGTACTATCATTTAGCGATTAACCGTCTTCCGTGTTAACGTTTCTAGTGGCATCAAGTCGTTACTTGTAAAACATGAGAAACATGTAAATCATGGCATTTAAGTACATTCGCGCGATGATTTTAATGAGACGTCGCACACTTTGCGCTTTCCGTCAGTTGCAATTTTTTATCGGTCGTTTTTATGTAAATTGTGCCACATTATAAGCGCGCAAAAAAAGTTTTTTATGCTATAATAGACTTTCGACATTGATGAGAAACGTCTATCAAATAGGAGTTTACAACGGTTTTAATCAAATAAACTCGCATTCATAAACGGCTATGTAATACTACGTATCTAATAGAATTAAAAAATGCTATTATTAAAAATACTTACGATTTATTCTCTTAATTGGAATCAGTGTATTATCACTGATATAAGTAATGGCTTCGATGTAATAAGTATATTCATACGGTATATTATTTCAATATATAAATATGTTCAATATTATAAATATAACACTAAAAATAGAGTAAAATCTCATCAAAAATTAATGGTAATGGTTGATTTTTCAATGAAATCTTATCAATTATCAATGAAACATAAGACGAAAAAACAAAGTGTGAGTGTGTTTTCACTAAAAATCTATCAAATACTCACTAATTTTCGGTAAAATCTTGTTAGTGCTTTAATCAGTGACATTTTTACTGATTCCGTTTAAGAAAATACCCCTTCAATTTTATTAACTATTTTGCAATTTTTCTCTTCCTTTTTCCTATAAAACTTTTTTCGCCGAAATTTAACAACTATTTAATTTACGAACTCTAATTGAATTCCGAGATATGACCGATAACATTAGTAGCAAATAATCGATATAGTCTAAAAACGGGAATACCTAAAAATTTATCAAGTGTAAAATATTGGCATATTGCGTTCCAGTAGATTGTTATTCAGGTGTTAGGCTAATAACAATAGCGGCCATAAGCCATTGACCGGGCAAGCCGTTACTATTTTCATCGACCGAAACGCTCTTCAACCAGCACGCGTTTAAATAAGTCATAGAAAAATTCAGTTAAAAAATAAAGACAGTAGTCAGAACGCGGCTCATAACACTGCTTCTTCTAAAGTTTATCTTTGGGAAAAATGTTGTAAACTACTAACTTTTAATAGAAAATAAATAGCAGATTCCTTAATAATTTCTATTCGAATTTTTGCCAAATGTTAAAAAACTCTAAATTTGTTAGAATAACACGTGATGCAGAACGAAACACATCAGTTATTGCGTATATCTGCATGCGTTATATCATCTCATAATATAATATAATAATATTTTTGTCGATCCTGTAGCGGGACAGTTCGCGTCCTTAGACGACAGCGTGGACGAAAAGAACGACGCGGAAATTTTTCGCGCAGTCGTCGAATCAATGAGGCAATGGAAGCTTCACAAGATGCTACATTACAGGAAGAAGAGAGAAGTGTCTAAGATATGTTACGAGGATGTCGGTTGTTTCGAGGATACCGGGCCTTTCAGTTATCTGGAAATGTTACCGTCACCGCCGAAGGACGTCGGAACCAGGTAAAAAGAAAAATACGATATCTACTTATGTTAATAAATTCGCGAAAAGAAGTATGTATGTGCTAATGCAAATCATTACAGAACAGAATTATATTTTTATATTATCTAATAGGTTTTGATAATATTCGCGAAAATCCACAATTGCAAAGCAGAATATATATATCAAACATATAAAATATTTTTACAGTAGGCAATCAAAATTTATTGTATAATTTTGTAAAGTATTTAACATCCTTTGATAGATTCCTTATATATGGAACTAGAAGGGCAAGATCGATCCCTATGGAAGTACCTGCTGATGATATAAATGACAATACACATCGTGCCATAGATCCTACTCTACCCACGATAGTAATCGTGCATGGGTTCGGAAGTCATTGCCAGCACTTGTGGGTATATGATATGAGATCAGCGTTAATGAGCATTCAAGACTGCAATATAGGTATTTACGCGTCAAAACTTGTAATTAAATAAATCTGCAAAAATTCTAATATTATATCTATATTCATCACAAAGAATCCTAGTGGAAAATATCACATCCGTACTTTATTAAATCGCTTCTAATACAGCGATCTAGTATCTATTAAATGTATGCCTCTTTTAACAGTAATAATTTAATCAACGTTGGCATTAAATACATAGTTCACGTAATTATGTTATTTATACGCAATAGGATTCAACCATAATTCGATAGACCAACTGATATTTACTTTTCGTTTTCTTAATCATGAATATAATAGCCGAATATGATCTCGGTCTCGTCTCAAATAATTACTCTCCTTTTCGAATATATATACATATGTATACGTAATATGATAATACTATTCTAGTTTGTGTGGATTGGGGCCCTGGCAGCGCTGTACCCAATTATGTAAGGGCAGCGGCCAATACGCGACTGGTGGGTCGACAATTGGCAAAATTAATTCGCAACTTGAATGTGCCGTTGGAAAAAGTGCATATGATAGGATTTAGTTTGGGCGCCCATGTGGCCGGATTCGCCGGTGCTGAGCTAGGGAATGTGTCTAGAATAACAGGTATGTCAAATTCTATGTAAAAATATATTTCTTATTCCTGTTCTATTTTTTAGATAAAATTATTATGGGAGAGTTGTAAAGATATTGTAGAATTTAGCTTAATACTGAAAAACAAAAAAATTAATTTCTCATGTAAATACACGGATACACCTATAGAAAATTTTGTTTTTGATGTGAACTGCAATATGAATCAATCAATTTTTTCAGGTGTTACGTAATTTTTCTGTTATATAAAAATTCAATAAATATAAATAAATGTTTTTTGAACTGCCTTAAAAAACAATATTAGACAACAATAACTGTTAAAATTCGCGTATTTGAACTTCATGTAATAAACTTTTCAGTTGATGCAATTTATTGTGCCGTGTGCAATCTGTTCTCTATATGGCGCATTTACGACGGTTATTCTCTGTTACGGTATTGTCACTTAGTTTGTAATATTTGTCGGTACTTGCATCGCGCGAGTTAAAGCGTCGACTACGATTTTCAAGCATATTTTTCATGCGCGAGGTATTTCGGCTGTCGAGCATTAACTCATGCATATAATCGATTATTCGAGAGTAACTGTAACAAGGTCCCGCTAAGTAACTATTTCGAAGCGTTCAAATGCTTATTGCATTCCGCCTCTTACCTCGACATGCGTCGGTGCCTTTTGATCAAATACCACAGCTGGCTTCCACGACGAATTGATCGCGCGTTTTTACTATATGGACACACGTAATTGAATTTCGACGATGATAAAATGGGTGTTTTCTTATTTAAACCTTTGAGATTATCAGACCAAAGAATATTCTTCCACTAACATATTCCTTGTTTTTTTTCAATGCTATCTCGCGTAAGATTGAGAAACAATTATTTTTGTAATTTATGACTATTTACTTTTATGGCGAGTGATACTTTTTTATTAATTGTATATTTTTTATGATTTTTCTCTCTTCCTTTCTTTCAATACAATTTTTGTTCAGATTTTTCAAGAAATAATTTTTTTTCAAATTTGTGAATTATCAAAGCAAACAATATCCTTTTTTGCGTTTTTGATCCCGGTTTCATACGTTCACCGATGCGAGAGTGAGTTTAACAAATGGTAGTCGGTCATGTTAAGTAAAAGTATATCTGATCTGTGTGCAATAATCTGTAGACTTATAAGAGCAACCGGTTAATATTTTTACAGTATACTTGTTTACCACATTACTTAATCCAGTACATATATAATGCTAATAATTTTATAAAAATAATATTCTTTTTTCTTTCTAAATTTGACATTAATTTTTTCTTAATGAAAATTTTTAAAGAGGATGTTATTTCTCTTCAAAACTATATCAATTTTTTAATATTTCAGTGATTATTATCTCTTAAGTTTAATTTAGAGAAGTCTCTTATATAACTTTAACTTGTAGCTGAAGTTTTATGCGAATTTTATGCACGATATGTACGTTGCGATATGATTATTGCATGTTCTTGCATGCAAATAGGATTAGATCCCGCAGGACCACTTTTCGAGTCGCAGGATCCGAGGGTTCGTCTGGATGCGACGGATGCAAATTTCGTAGATGTTATTCACAGCAACGGCGAGCAGCTCATCTTGGGCGGACTTGGTTCTTGGCAGCCCATGGGCGACGTGGATTATTATCCGAATGGCGGAAAAGTGCAAAGTGGATGCTCAAACATCTTCCTTGGCGCTGTTTCTGACATCATCTGGTGTAAGAATTTCTTACGACATTTTACCATAGAATTTTTTTTTTTATAGAGTCTCTCATTTTTTTCATATATACTCTCGTAATATTACATTTTTATCGTGTTTTCTAACACTAATTTTTAGTTATTTTATGATGCATTCTATGACGCTATTTCTCAGATGTATCGCAGTCAAAAAAATTAAAAGTTTTTTTTTAAAACTAATTGGTTTTTAATTAATAATACGAACATTTTAGCGAGCGCGGTCGAAGGAAAATCGCTGTGCAATCATCGGCGAGCGTATAAGTTCTTCACCGATTCCGTTAGCCCGAAATGCCAATTTCCGGCCTTTCCTTGCAATGAAGGCTATGAGGGTCTGTTGAAGGGCGAATGTTTTCCCTGCAGCAAGAACAGCATAGATCGATCATGCGGCAATATGGGTTATTACAGCAACGAATCGTCCGCCAGGGGAAAGCTATACTTGATGACCCGAGAAGAAGAGCCCTTTTGCGCTCATCAGTATCAGATCAAGGTATATAACAGTCGCAACGAAAGGTCCGTCAAGAGCTACGGCAAGCTTCAGGTGAGCGCCAGACATAAATCTTTCCGCGAATAATGATAGCGAGATCGATTTGATTCTTTCTCTTGCAAATTTTTAACATACTTGCAATGTATCATATCCATATCTATGCAATTTTAAATTAAAATTTATGATTATTTTATCTTTGTTACTAACGATTTTTATGAATCTGTTTCGGATGTTGTTTATTAGATAAGTAGCTGAAGAATAGTATAAATTTTGAAGACAAAATTTCAAAATCTTTGTTATTTTTCAGGTCATGCTTGTTGGAAAAGGCTCTTACAATGATACGTTCGCGATGACACGCAAGGACGAAGAACTTTTGGTAGGAGCCATTTTACAGAAAATCGTTGTGCCGCATCCTGCGGTCACTAATCTTGAAGGAATCGAAGTAAGTTATGATGTTTTTAATTAGATATGTAATTATTATAGACGAAGTTTTTTGGTTCATTTTTTGTAAAAAAATATTGCAAATTATAAAATATTGTTCTTTAATAATATATTAAAATTGATTGTTGAATTAAATTTTAATATTTCTTAGGTATTTTTTTAGAATAATTAAAATCAGATTACCTTCCGTTCTTATTATTATAAATCGGAGTGTAAATTTTATAATGTAGAACATGAAGCTTTCAAAAAATGGCGAGTTTAGTTTTACATTATGTGACTGTATAAATTATTATATTTTCTGATTTATATATATAAATAACTTAATTATTTTCTCAAGATCAAGTACACGGCGTATAGTGGCTGGATATCATCTGGCTTAGTCTCCTGGACCATCGATAAAGTGGCTATTATTGACAGTTTTGGCAAGACTCTATCGGTTTGTCAAAAGGACTTGATTTTGGAATCTGATCGTCCAATCTATCTCCCACTTTACCCAGGCGAATGCAACATTCCTTTGGACACTGACAATTCCACCGTACCCTCGGTATTGCCACTCGAACGCGTAGCGGTTGAGGAGAAGCAGCAGCAACCGGGCAGCATAGGACCCTTTACGAAGGAGCAAAATTATGAGACGAAGGACTCCGGATACTCCGTATCCGATATCCTCTCAACGGACAGAATACCGCAGAGGAAAAGTCTCGGTCCGTTTACGAAGGAGCAAAATCTGCGCGTCGTCGAGTCGATGCCTTTCGCAGAGGATGCGGAGAAGCGGCGCAACATGGCGAGTCCGTGGACCGTGCTGGATATATCGAATGACGGCGATTCGAATTCATTGGAGAATGCTGATTTGGAGCACGGACGAAGTTTCTCCGGCGCCAACCTGATCTATCACACTTCAACGGCGGTGCAGCGTGCCGCTGAGACTAACGTCACTTCTCCCGCCACTACCAGTACCACTACCACTACTACAGAGTTCTTGCCGGAGATCAGGGAACCGGTACTACGTCCGAGCAAGAAGGAAACTGGCCGGTCGCTGAAGTTGCCCGAAATCACGGAACCGATCCTGCGTCCGCGCGCCACCAGGCATAATACGCGAAACGAAGCGGTGCCGCAACAGTACGACAGTCAGCATGATGAGATACAGGAAACATCGTCCACCTCTACCAGATCATTCACCGTGCAATTCTTGCCCGAAAGAATTGCGAACATCATAGCGCATGCCGAACAATATGCTCGGCAGACCATATGGCCTTTCATCTCACAGTATACGCCGAGCTTCATGACCGGTATGCGGTCTCACGAAGAACCCAAATATTTTCCCCTTCTTGGTGACATAGCGCAACCGAAGAATACCGACGCTTCCGTCGAGATCGACAAGACGACCGATCGGCAGTCGAATAGTGACCAACTCTCGCGAAGAGACATCAACCAGCGTAAATCCGGCGAATCGCTCAGCCTTGTCGAAGACGGGAGGCGTCACGAGGAATTCAAGTCGAGGTCGCAAATGGAGAATGGCGAAAACGTAAGTAATGAGTATAGCGTGTCGAAAGCCGGAGCGCCGCCGGTAATAATCGAGGCTGTGTATCCGGAGAAAGTAGCGGACGCTAATTTCACCGATCCATCGGAGACGAAAGCGACCGAGATTCATCGCGAGGACGGCGATTGGTGGCCGATCGATGAGTCGGCGATCCCCTCGAAGAAGGCTCCTTCGCGAAGAGACTCGAATGTCTCGCGTTCGTTGGACTGGTCGATGGGCCATAGCCGTGACTGGACCTTTTCGGCGGACGCGAATTCAAAAGCAAAAGGCAAACTTGACGACGATTGGATACCGATCACATTCAAGAATAACGCTGAAATATCGACGACTGCGCGTGGAACGACGTTAAATGAAGAAATAGCGAAAAAGGAGACCGATGCCATCGATAATTCGCGGAAATCTGCCCAAGATATAATGTCCGACGAGACCAAAGAGGAAACCACGACTGCCACAAGCACATACGAGAGGAAATTTATACCTCTGCTTGATTTCGAAGAGACGACCGGTGATTTGTTCTCGTCGACAAATTCTAACGATATCCCAGAGCCCACGACGACTGCTTCGCATATCCAGAAAATTCCAAGACACGAGCAAGCAACTATGAAGAGTGTCGGGATGATGACGAAATCCACCATGATGTTCCCATACGTTTACGAGCGAAGAAATGATCCTAGGACGAGATATATACCGTTGATCCCGGAAGAAGATATGGGCAAGCCTTATCCGTTGATGGAAAGGGATCGTTAACATTATATAGGCGATGCAAATTCATTGGAAAATAAAACTCGAAAGATTTTTCAATGTCAAAACGTTCGCAAAACGTGGATTTTTTATTTTATCTTCTAACGTGTATTATTTGATATTATTCCAATAATTTCGATAACGTATATCATTTGATATTATTCCGATAATTTCTTGTTTCTTTTCGATAAATTAAATAATTTTGTATTAATTTTATTAAATTGTTTCGTCGTTGCTTATTATATAAATAAGAATATAAGCATTAAAAACTTAAGAGGTTGTTGGCGCTCCATCGAAGAAGGAAAGATTATTCTTGGCATTATTTTAATCAGATGAGAATATTTGCATATAATATCTCTAGTATTTTTAAAAACAGATACCATGCGTTGCTCCTTTGTGAATAGAATCGTGAATGCATGCTGTTATTTTCAAATAAAATAAGTATAGATTTGATCAAAATTATTTTTCAAAATTAAAGCCACCGCAAGAGTGCTCATCTGTCAATGTGATTTTAGACGGAAATGATATATATTCCCCAATTTCAATGGAATTTATTACAAATAAAATTTTGTCGCTATACTATTATTAATAGCCTACATTTAGAGGGAGAAAGAGAAATATCTCTAGTGTAAAATCAATAACAAATCTATTCCTATTCTTTCTTAGTTTTTGCCTCAAAATTAAATGCGCGATTTCCTGATAATACTAAGGCATCGGATATAGAAAAATACAAGAAAGATGAGATCTCACATATGATTTTTAGCAAAGAGAAATATGTTCGCGCGCCTTTTATAATACTTTCCGTGTCATCTTGCCGATATTAAACTAATGCCTTTTTTTACACGATTATAAATAATGTTATGAAAATTACGGAAAGAACGCGAAACTTTTTCTTTAGTTATTAGAATCGTTAAAAGCTTAATGGTTTCAGAAAAAAAGTTTTAATAAGTTTTTCTCTTTTGGTAAAAATTGGGAACCCTTAACTTTATTACTTTCCTATATATATATATAGGATTTTTATACACAGCTATATATATAGCTTCATCTTTTACTATGAATCATTACAACTATTATTATCATCGCGCCATCATTGCCATTGTTTTTTTTCTTTCTCTCGCGCCTATTTATGTCCAGTCTGTAAGTATGTGACCAGTGATCATGAAAAATGTTCATAGCGCTCATTGTTATGTAACTTTTGTGTTGTATATATCTCGATGACCAACGCGGACAATCATGAGGAGTCCGGGATATCGCGTGTGTATCCCCTCGTAATGTAATAAATATATACAGTGAGAAGAGACAGTTTAGAGACTAACAGTTGAAAAATATGGAAGAGACGATATTTTTGCGTAGATTTATATATAGATATATATAATCTTTAATATAATTGTTTTTACTTAAAATAAATAACCCATATTTCTTTTTTAAAATGCGCCTCTCGATCCGCCAACTTCGCTTTCTATTTTTTTTCTCTCTTTTTCTTTCCCTCGTTCACATTCACTCACTCATCCGCACTTGTAACCCGCAACACCCGTCACTTGTAATCACGCATTTATTGCCCTTGATCGATCGGGTTGAATCCCAGCCCATACTCCTGATATGTCCGCATGCTTAAGAACTAACTCGTTCGCAGTTCTTTCTTCGCTGCGATTGTTCAGGTACCGATTGACGCATCGAGGAGAAACGGAAGGCCCCGACTCGATGAACGAAAATTAAGATGAACGAAAAGAAAAAACTCCATGCACGGCGCGCATTCTATTGTACACGAGGAAGAAGAGACTGCGAATGTCGTTGACGCGATTTCGATCTTCTTTATCTTACATACGACATGTTACTTAATGAACGCACAGTCTTATGGAATAAACCCGTGAGCGAACTTCGACAAGTAAAAAGATATCATCTTATATATTAATCTATCACCCTACGATCATAGATTTGGTTCAACTCGCCGTCTGACGAAACAATTCACATTATATATATATATATATATAATGTGTGTATGTGTGTGTTGTGTGTGAGTCCTAGCTACCTATATATGTATATCATTGGACGTGTACACTTTCCTTCCGCAACGCGCGCACACACAGGTGCAATACATCTCAATTCACTCGTCTCACACGCTCTCACTTTCGCGTTTTCTATTGTATAAATATTCCGATGTTAAAAAAAAAACCACTACGAACTACCAGGAGGCCCAGTTTCATCTCGCGCTCATTTCACGCTCGCCGTTTCACCTTAAATACTAAATTTTAGCGCTACAACGTATAAAAGATAAGGCCGCCACATTAATACACTGACTAGATCAGTTTCATATGTTCTCTTTTCAAAGTGTACACAAATTCCTCGGCTTCGCATAATACCTTAACAAGGATATCCAGGACACGGTATGTAATAATATCTCTATCAACAAAAAAATATATATGTATATATATTATCGTTATGTGGTCTCTCCGGCACTTTATACCGCGCGTTCCGAGCTATTAACGTCACGACACGCAAAATTTCGAACCGTTGAGAAAACGCGTAGCACAACAACGACGAACCTTGGGCCGCGTTGATGTTATCTGTCGAGTCGAAAACGACATGAGAATGCTGCGAAACGCAACCTCTGTAAATTGAACTTATCTTCCTCTGACCTCTCATTGCAGCATACTAGAATAGCTGCAGTAACACAGGTCAATATTTTTAAATATCTTTAAAATAAAAATTTAGAATTAAAAATTGATAAAATTACATATTATTAATACATTACAAAACAAAAAAGAAAAAAAAACAAACGCAACGAATCGACAAAATTTATCGCAAATATCAACTACAAGATTAGAATGGCAAGATAAAACGATTTACCTACTTGCCTATTTAAATAAAAAGAAATAATTCGTACTCACATCTTCGATCTGAATAGCTTTCTTGCAATGATCGGTAATAACCACGGTTCGTGTGCATAAGGACGGAGATGGCTACTAGGAACTGCGAGGCACTGCAAAACGTACGTCAATTCCGAAAAATCGATTAGCGCTACGCCAGCACTAATCTTAAACGCATTTTTTAAACGAAATTCGCTATTGCTTCGTCCTCTCTATCTTTTTCTTCTGAACAATACATCGTTATAGCCCAAGTGCATGAAACGCGATTCATGTAGCGTATTAAAGATCCTGTGTGCCGATGGCTCCGCCAAATTTCAGTCGTACAGCTCAATTATGTATGTATGTAGATTATCAAAAAACATCACAGTCAGGTTATTAGGTTTTTAGAGAAATGTTCTTTAGCACGCCGCGCGCGCGTATCAACTACCCTGCCTACAAGTCACGTATGACGCGCTGGTACTATTAACTCCCTTTTTCATTTGTCGTATGTGCAATAAAACCGCGATTACTATTATTTTTCATGTAACTACCATTTGTTCTCCACTCTTAATTATATATAAAAACGCGCTATCTATCTAATTATCGTGTAACGTTCCAGGATACTTGCCGTCATCACGTACGCGACGATGAGGCAAACTCTCTTCAAGATCTGTGTCACATTTCATTGTGTAGGCTTTTTTTATGCGGGCGCTCCTTGAGCATCGGAAGGAAACGATAAGAAACTGTCAAACGACTGTCAGGCATAATATCACTTCTTGTCGAATAATGCGAGTTTGCTACGTACGGCACCCTCGCACACAACCAGCCGCTGTGCGGCCGAGATGCTACTGATGGGCACGGGCCCTTCCAGACTGGCCCGTAGCAAAGTTAAGCGGCTAGGACCGGCGGTATCGCCGTGTTCGCCGAGTCTACCTGCCATCGCCTGCTTTCTCTCAAAGTATTCAACAATTTTCGAAATGGTCTTGCTTGAGGAACCAATGCCGTTTAGTCGGTCCTCCCAGCACGAATCGCCGCCACCCAAGCTGGCAATGTCTTCGGAAGAGTCCGTGTAGATCGAGCTGGTTCGATGATCATCTAGCAGAAACAGACTGCTTGCTGCTGAACTGCTGAGAGTTGAGGTGTGCCGCCGATTCGGTGGCTCCGGACTCAGGTCCTCGCCAACGCAACTCCAGAAGCCCGATTCGCAGCTGCCGCGTCTCCGTGGCTCCCAACCATCCCGGAAGAGTGGATGAGTAAACAGACTCGCAGCTCCTACCTTGGTGGCAACCTAAAAACAATATGTATATCAGTATGACAAGAGAAAATAACTACATATATAATAGCGTGATATTTTCTATTATAAGACAAACGTGTGTTAATTTGTGTCTACTTACTTTCCTCTCCCACTTCTTTCTAGCAGTAGGGCTGCTCGGCTCGGAGCTCGGCTTTTTCCTATCCAGGATCTTGGCGATGCTGTCATTCTGCGCCGGCTTGAACTTGCTACACGCGCCGTCAGTGACGCTGGGACGCACATCTTCTAGCGAGGGTAGCTCCAGACAGCTGGAGAACAGATCACCAAGAATCTTTTTGACGCCGCCCAATGCGTGGAACGGATTCGCCGTCATCGGTCTATAATGCGGATCCCGTCTGCTGGCGAGCTCGGCCACCCGCCTGGCAGAGTGACATCTCGCCTTATCGGAGGGAGTTGCGTTGTCGCAACCTCTCGCATCTGCCGATTGACTTCTGACTTTTGCAGTACGTCGCTTCATCGTGCGTCCTTCTCGTGCAATTTCGTCCATACTGGACATTAATGTCGGGTCAACAGTCGATTGTCGTTTACCAATGTTGCTCTTCAATTCTACTTCGCAGGTCGCTATTATGGTCTCCAGACTAGTTGTGATCTCTGGAAAGGTTGGCCTCGACTTGGGTTCGTACTGTAAATAAATGAAGAAGTCCGTTTGTCATCGTGTCTTTCGTTACATTCATATGGAATAAATAATAAATAATTAACGGAAGAATAATCGTAGATAGATATAATTCCAATTAACAAATTATAAAATTCAATTAAACTGATAATTAATGAAATTTAACAGATATCTGCTTGAAATGTTGCATGCGTGCGTGTATAACATAATATTTTCATTTTGAGTGTAATAGCAGTTATAATAATCGTCCGACTTTATTTGCACCGGATCCACATTGCATGCCTTTACAGTTACAAGAGATCATCATACTCACTGTACAGCAATTGAAGGCGAGTTGCAGGAAGGCGGGCGGCGGATCAGCGGCCGCGCAGATCTCCGCCACGGCCAGATAATCGAGGCCAAAGTTATCTGAGCGTGGCAGAACGTCCGGATCTGCCGGCACTCTGCCGATCAGCTCGCATACGACGATGCCGAATGAGAAAACGTCGGACCTGTGATCGTACCACTGGCCCTTGAGGCACTCGGGTGACATCCAGTAGGGGCTGCCGACAGTGCTGAGTCGATACCCCGTGCTTGGATCCGGTATCTTTGCGGCCAACCCGAAATCGCCCACAACCGCAATCATCTCGTTGTTACACTCGTCCTTTTTGATCAGCACATTTTTGGACGTGAGATCGCGGTGGAATAGGCCGCGGCTGTGCAGGTAGGCCATGCCACGGGCCACATCCCTGGCGAGGTTCATCCGGATGAGATGCGGTAACGGCGTATGCCGCGACATGATCAGCTGTTCCAAGCTGCCACCATTGATGTATTCCGTTAACGCGTGTAGTTGACCCTCGTGTACGCACACTCCCATGAACCTGGAAAATGTAAGAGGAGATTGATCTTCAAGTGGTCGAAGGTCTTTAGTTGAGACATTTTTTTTTTTTTATTTGTGACAATAAAACGGTGGATTCCAATACTTTTCACGAAAATACTATTTCAGAAAAAAATAAATGTATAAAGAGATATAATTTAAAAGTTCGTGTTTTTAATTTTATCTCATCATTAATTTCTTTAACTAGTCGTGATGCTAGTAGGACAAAATAATAACCTGCTTCTCAATCTGAATATTCATTGATTGAAATATTTATCTTAACATGGAAAATTCAGCAAGAATTTATAAGACTAATTCCGTATTTGAAATTTAAGAAGAATTTAAATATACATTTTCAATTGAATGTAGAAAAGAGTAAAAAAAAAACATCGCGATTTTCAGATGAGAAAAAAATATAAACTTTTTATTCCATAAAATTTATATAAAGAGATGTAAATAAAGAAATAAATTTTCGTACTCGTTACATAAAACTTAAAGATTAGGTTGGATTTAAATATAATGAAATAATATTCTCTCAAAATTATCACAAAATAAATCAATATTTATTATGTAGCACAAACACGAGCGAATTCAAAACTTGTCGCTTTTATCAATTCAGTTCAGATTCTCAACCAAAATTAGATATTGAAGGCAAACAAAAGAAAAACTAAAGCAAAATTGGCGAATATTTATAGTTTTATATCAAATTTTAATATTGCAATGCTTTCTCTCTTACTCTCTTCAATTCATATCTAAAAACGCAACAATAAAAAATAAATAAGATAAAATGTGCGCAAAAATATATGATAAAATTACTGGAAACCCCCATCTAATATTTAATAAATAAATAAGTACAGTTGACATAAATAAAGACAAAAGACAAAGAAATTTTATTTCTGAAGAATATTACCCAATATTGTTTATCATTCATTGTTTTTGAACAATAAAACCAAATCCAGGTGATGTGCTCTACATATAATAAAGACGATTAAAGAGTCTAGACATCTTTGATATGTACCTTGTAACTTAATCGTTGCGATATCATTGACGTTATCTTTATAGCCATTCTATTATGATAGATTAGGACAATTAAATCCATCTTGTTTCAAGGAAATATCATGGACTCGCTTATCAAAAAAAGCTTTTGAAACAATTTAATACTTTTAAATGTTCAATAATGGAACCGATAAAAAAATTGATGAGTTACCATAATTTCTTTAACTGCTTTTAATTATAACTCGTAATGATAAATATATCCATTAGTACATATAATGTATTGGTTAATGCCTATTATTGTATTTATTTATATTCATGTATAAATAAAATATAAATTAGAAAATCTCTAAAAATATATACAATAGATATACAATACATTGATTATAAATGCTATATAACTTAAACGATTTATATCATAATTAACTCTTTTATACTTTTAAAACAATATAATATCGTCATAATTATTATTACGACAAAAAATAATATTATAAGCTTTTACGATTTCTGTTATTATTTTAGACGGATACATAAATCCACAAGTGAAAATGTATTCATAAGTATTCCAAAAAATTACAATAAAACAATCTGATTATATTGCGAAAGCTACTTTGCTTATATTTCTCCCGCAGAGAGGAAAGACTTAATCGGTGAGTGCACTTTACGTTATCGTGGGATAAACGGGGATCCTGCATAAATGGTAGAGCTTGAGAAGGAGAAGAAAATCACGCGTTACGCCGTGTCGTCCCGATTTCGAGGCGTTTCTCGCCGAGCACGTCGACGCGTTTCTCCCACACACGCGACAGAAAAAAAAAAACGACAAACAGCGCGAACGAAAGAGAAATTTCCGGCGAAGAATTTTTCCCAGGTAAAATACAAGCGATGCGTACGCGATGCTCCAGATTCATTTTTTGTCGATCAGATAAGAGGAGAAATTGTCGCTCCCCTTGCGCTTTCCAAGGCTTGTCATCTGCGCGATTGATACGCGGTAGAAACATTAATTATACCGTATCATGTTGCAGATTTTTTACTAATAGATACTTGACATATAATTCGTAACGAGATACGCGAAGAAAGATTTCTGAGAAATTATACGGTTTTTACACGAGTGAAAGCTAAAATATGTGGCAAATATGTACATAAATAAAAAAATAATATAAATAAAATAGAAGCAATTCATTGGAGAGACAAATGTATTAAATCGCGATAAGTTTTGTATAAAAATGCCAATATCTTTTAATTCTTCATATTTTGGGCTATTTCACTTTTACTCCGTATTTATTTATTTTACGTTTTATTAAATTAATATTTAGTTATTGCATATCGAGATATGCATTTTATACATCGCGAATGCAGATCATAATACATACGTATATAAGTTGCAAATGTACATAAATCGAAAGCTCGAATGTCAAGTGCGCACGGAAAGCGATACGAATGTCTGACTACGTCGCGTCATTATCTACTAGTAGTTTGTTGTTGTCTCTTTCAGGCGATTAGAGGCAAATTCATTCTCCGCAAGCCAAATATTACGTAAAAGGAAGGGGGCGTTCGCATATAACGAGCATTGGTGAATCGATTGAGAGCATGTTTGAATGCAGAATTATGCAGAGTTCGAAGACGCGAGATATTTTTGGGCACTGTCCGGTTGTTTTCATTCAGCCGCGCTTCGTAAAAGCGATTGGCGCATTTGCCGATTGTCGTTCCAAGAATTATGACCGAGCTGCTGCTGACAGATACTACTACGTCGAATACTCGACGTAGTAATACTATCCCGATACTACAGCGCTGATATTTTTCGATTATGATATTTGGTACTTTTAGTATTATATTATTTGTACTGCAACAATGATACCGTAATAGATTGGTATGTTATTATGATATAATGATTGGTACGTCGCATAATAGCAGCAGCCATTAGAAATGACTATCAAACTTTTTTTTTTCCAGAAAATAAACATTAGTTATTGAGATAAATTAAATGCCATAATAATCGTTGATGATAGACATTACGATATCAATATTTATATCTCATTAGCTTTATATAAAGAATGATCCATTGCATTTAACAAGTTACAAGAAGAATTGGATAAATATCTGCTATAGGTTTTCAAGCAATTTTTAATAGTTAAGTATAACTTAAGAGAGAGATTTAATTGTGGTAACGCGCGAATATTAATATCTCGTCTTATCTAAAAATATCGATATTTGACGTTCCTACAACGTCAATACTTCCTATTAATATCACCCGAACTAAGACATAGACATTATCTCGCTATAGCAATTCTAGTTACGACATCGCAATAAGCGCGAGTGTAATGATATACTTCGCGGTAAATGCCGCAAGTGGAGATGATAACTATTTTTACAGCTGAGTCAGCCAGTGCGCAAAGCGGAGAATCCTGAGAGGACCCGCGAGTTTCGCGGAGGCCTTCGCCGAGGAAAATGCCAGAAATAAGATCCGCTAGGTTCACCCGACGGGTAAACACCGTATCCGAATCTAGGCCAAGCCGTTTATATCGTCGGAATGCGTTGTCGTCGCGGCGCGGCGCATCCCGAACGTCCCAGCAAAGCGCGTTATGTCATAATACGAGAAGCATTATACGGAAACGAAATCGCCCTCCTACCCTCTCCCCCTAAGAAGATCGATATAATACCTCTTCTCTGGATTCCGGATTTTTGATCTTTCAAAGTATGAATTTACTTGTATCTCTCGCACGACTCGCAGTTACGCGAGGTATAGCGTTAGATTTTGCATCTCACGAAAAGTAGACACAAAGAATTATTTAAATTACTTAATCAAATTTAAAATAGACTTTTGTCAACGAAAACGTTAATAAATAGAAAACAATAATAATTTTCAAAGAATAAATTTGATTGAAACTGAAGCGTGTTTTAAAAATAAGAATAAATAATGTTATTCGATAATTTAATTCATGTCATGTCATATAAATTTATATTACGAGATTAAAAAATTAAAATTCATAAGAAACGGTATTTTCTTTTAGTATAGAAATAAAATAATACATATGTATATACACATATATATAATTATATTGTACACTGTAGTGTATGTTCAATCGAATCTTTGCACATTTAATTTCGTATCTGCAAATTATGAAATGGAAAATTTTGCACATCGTGCTTTATGCATTTAGATACTGCACTTTAGATACTGCTTTCTGCTAGCAGGAATTTTCGCAACGGGTGTCGAGGTAACCGTCGTTACCGCTAGACGATGTATTATGTTGTAATTCATAACGAGCGTGGTTAAAGCGTAATACCGTTTTTTCTAATCTTTTGCTCATTTCAGTGGTCTCCCAAGCAAGAGGAATGTTAACGATATAATCGTCAGATAATAAATCAAACATAGGATCACACGCTTTAACTTGAACTTGATGTTCATTGCGACAAACCTCTATGATATCGTTTACAAGTCCTGACAGTCGCCACGTGTTTAGTTAAATGTGTTACGGTAAAATAACTTAATACAGAGACCTTGCGCCAGAATTTTGGCAAGACGCCGAAAAGAAGTTTTCAAATTGACTCACGACAGGACAAAACAAATGTGAGCATAAGAAGTATTTGGCTGCTGACTGATGTGATAAATCTTAAGAAGTTCTTGGGAAAATACAGAGAAATTTACTTAATATATTTATACAAAATTATATATGTGATAGTTTTATATAGAAACAATTAACTATCTATTACATAAATAAAGAATCCATAAATTAACTTAATGGTCGCTGTTAACATCCTCGAATATCTTTCTTACAAAATTCAAAAATGGTGTTATTGGCAATGCATAACATCGCGTGCGTTTTATCTTGGATAAAAGATACTTATACACCGCGTTTATCATTCTCGAATTTTATTCGCATAGCTCACATGCGAAAAAGGGTTAACGTATTTACCCGCAATACGAGGATTAAACGGGCAAGCAGAGTAGATAGAAATTTCATCGTCATTATCAAATTCGGCACATACGGCCGAGTGATTTTCTTCGATTGCAAGATACAGAGTTTCACCGGCAAAAATAAACCGGATTCGATTCGCGCGGGCTCACCTTAGTATGTTCGGATGGCTGAGCTTGTTCATGAGCTGGACTTCCTTCAGCATGTTCGGCCTGTTCGCCGCCAGCTGATTCATCTTGAGCACCATCACCTGACTTGTCACTTTATGAGTAACCTGGAAAAACGAAATGAACACGAAGGGTTAGTGACATATTGCGATGCGCAGTCACGTTATGCAGTTATTGACATTAGATCATATCGACAGGTGCATACGTAACCCCTACGATTCTTTACGGTAAGAACTGTGCCGAGGTCGTAAGCCTAAGAGCGCTATTTTTGACAGATATATGCTAGTATTTTCTTTCAAATATATGCAAAATCATGAAAAAGATTTTATGTGGTAGAGATTGTAGAAATTGCACAGATTTGAAAAAATACTAGCGTATATTTTTATCGAATAAACATATAATATACGATATGAAAATAAAAGATTTATATACAGTAAAAAATAAAATTTTATATTTCATAATTTACTACACTATACTATGTGTGAATACTATAATGTATTCATCGTAACGTTAAATACAGGATACGAATTTTCTATAATTCACTATACTGTGAGTAAGATAGACGAACGTATATAATTCATCATCGTATCCTCTATATAGTGACCTTAATGCATCAAAGTAATTTCATCGTGATTGTGCGAAACATTTATACGTTTGTCGCAAAATTGATACAAGTACAGGTTGCATCAAAATTTGACAGTTGCATTATTTAATACTTGGACGATGAGTACGATTATTTGAAGTCGATTTCGATGACCAAAAGATTTACGGGAGACTATTGTTACAACTTTTGCAGTTTTAAATATATCAATAATTAAACTATATATTAAAATTCTGTTCAAACTTGTCCTACATCGAACAAACAGGATTTTTATCATTAAATTTTACTATTAACACAAATATAAAGGCAAGTAACAGATTTTCTTAAATTTTTTAAAAATATCCGTCTTGCGTTAAAATGATTTTGGAACAACCTGTAATAATAGCTAATCGTTCGAGCACTAGAAGACGACGACGCCAGATGCGATTCTCATCGCTGACCACGAAACGAAGACTTGCGTCGTCCTATTTTCACGTGGCGCAAGTAACACGCGCGAGAGAACGCTAAAGCGATATCCTCGCGAAAGAGAAACTTATTAATGAAATTGCGGCATCTGGTTAGCGTATATACGCTCGTAAAGACGCCGGCCGCACAGCATCGTTCAATGTCAAAAATGGACATACAGCCTGTAACTTCTTTATTAATCTTGAAAGCGCGATTGCCTAACGAGGGCGATTATTGCAGCTTTACTAGTCGATTATTATGGATTCCCCAAAGAAGAGCAGTTTCGTAAAAATTATGGGGAGAACTTAATTTAAAGCATATGCTGCGTAATGAACTGAGAAATAAAAAATCTGAATTATTATAGAATTAGTTAAATCAATTAGCTTCACTAGTCGATTATTATGGATTCCCCAAAGAAGAGCAGTTTCGTAAAAATTATGGGGAGAACTTAATTTAAAGCATATGCTGCGTAATGAACTGAGAAATAAAAAATCTGAATTATTATAGAATTAGTTAAATCAATTTATTTATTTATTATAAAACTAGTTAAATAAATTAATAAAATATTTAGAATTTAAAATATTAAGAATCTAGTTATCTGCCAAAGAATCTATCATTAAAGTCTTTTTTAACAATATAATGTACTGTATATTGCATATTATATGTATGACATAGATATTGAAAGAGGTATATTTTTATTATCTTTATTATAGTTCTTAATCTATATCGATAGTTTTTAAAGGAGTCAGTCAAAGTTGCGAAAAAACACTGCCGTAAATTTTTTAAGTGAAGATAGTTTTCTCATATTCTGTATATATACAATGTATACGAATATAGTTTTCTTTTTTTATAAATAAAATAAAGAATTTGACATGATTTCTATTCATGGCGGTGCGAAAACATCTGAGAATACAAGAGATGCGAGGAGGTTAAGGACCACTAGATTACATCACTCAGCCCCCGGCGTCGAAAGGCGTGTAATGCACTCTCCTTTACATTCCAGCGCTCGCGCACATTTTACCGTTCATCTCGGATTTCATCTCGGTTCTAAAAGAAGTCGGCTGAAGATGAGACGGGAAAGATGATGAAAATGGAGACGTGACGTGAGAGAGGAGAGTCTCTCTTGCAGCCGACATCTCGACGCGAGATGGAAATTTCGCGGATTAAAAAGTCGAGAATAATATCCGAAGGAAATGTAGCCAGAATTCCTTGGCAATAGCCGGCTCTAGTTGGATCGCGGCCAAAACGGTGACGAATGCGAAAACCGGAGTTCGAATCCGTCGTAAACAGAACGGCTGCGAATCGTTGTTATTTCACGACAAAAGAGAGAGAACGAAGAAGAAAGCCGTCCGCGTGTGTGTTTAATCCGACGAATCTTATTTCCGTTCATCGCTCGGCGAAACTCAAGGGATTGGTGAGTCGACTGACAGGAAGATGTTGTCGATCTCTCACCTGCGCCAATTCATTTGAATAATTCCTATTGTCTGGAAAGCTCCGGTATTGCGTGTTTTCTACATACTACGCGCCATTGTATTTACGACCGCGGAGAGAAAGCATGCGCGGCAATTATATTGTAACAGCGAGTGATTAATACCTCCTTGAGAGTCCCATGCATAATGCAAAACACATTTCGCGCCTTTCCACCCGCATGTAGAGACTACCACGTGTAGGTGACTATCGGTATAAACTCGGCAAAATTGAATAAAACGAAAGCCGGCCCTCATTATTCAAAGACGAAATTTTAGGCGATTAAAATAATGCTTGAAAAATCAAGTTGGAGAAATTTTTGTAGTCTGAAAAAAAAATAAGGAGAAAAGAAATTATATTATCATACATATGTATATCATTTTCGTCGTTCTGTTTCCAAATTGCAGACGGATATTGATTGTTTTAATTTCGATTGATAATGTACTGATATAAATATAAGCCAAATACAAATATAATTAAAATATAATTACAATATAAATATATTTTTTTAATCAAAAAAATTTTTAAGTTTGAAATTAAATTTTGTTATGAATATAGTGTTATCGATTTACGGATGATTCAACCGCTGAGAGATTCACTTTATAGGGAGGACAGAAGAGCGAACACTCCATCTATCAAGTATCGTTCTGGCAAGCTACGGCGCAATTAAGAGCAGCGATCCAATTAGCAAGCGCTCTGGACTTTGCAAACTCAAAAGCTCTCTACAAAGGTCTGCCTCTCTACAAAGGTATGTTCACAATCATCGTCAACCATCGTAACCGTCAACCGTCTAATTATAAATGCACCCGAGAGATGAAAAGCGTCAAATAGGGGATGTAAAAGCGAGGCAGACGATCGAAAAAGTACATGCTCTTGAACTTTTCGTCTCGAAATATTTTCAATATGCTCATTTAAGCTTATGTGATTTTTTGCATCTTTGTTCAAATAGATATAAAAATGATAAAATATATAACTTTTCATTATTCATCGTGAAAGCATAACTTTAATCAAAATAAATACACGTATAATCCCTTTAATTTATTATGTGTGTAATTTACATAATATTTTGTCAAATTACGACACTCGACATCGCGATAATCATATTTGAAAAATCCACAAAAATATAATTATTTATGATTTCGTGAACTGACAAAAACCGATTAAAAATTATATGCCGAGGAAACTGGACATGCAAGAGACTTTCTAGGCTCAAACTTTTTTAGGCTGAAATTTACGAGCCTATATACAGTATGGTAAAGGTTAACTACACTCACATGCATTCCGTGGATTAACATATGAGACATAACGGCATGATAACTGTCATTTATATCTACCGTCAATTTTAGCCAGAAATATATACATATATATGATAATTATTTATATATATACACTGTTATAGATTTTAATAAGTTATATAATCTGTAACAAAAAAATGGAGCTTTATCTCTCAATCTTTCTTCATTATTAAATTTCTTTATATAACTTTTATTGAAATATACAAATTCGTAATTATTGACATCATGTAGAATTATGGAAAATTGGGGGAGTTTTATGAGAATATAAATATATATCTAATTTTATAATAAAGTTTCAGTTTCCATTTCCACAAATTTAGTGTAAAACTTTGCAATTATTTCGCAAAAATCGGAGCATTGTTTTATAAAAAAAAACATTTAAATAGTTATAATATCTATTTTATGAGAGTTCTAGAAAATTAAAATTTTCAGAATTCAATATTTAATATACAATGACCTTTACTGCTAATTAATTTATTGAAATATTATTTTGTTAAAAATTGTAATTGATTAAAATTCGAGACATAACACGCATATCATATCACGCATAACAGCAAGAAAGATATCAAATTTTATTGGCTGTAGTAAAGATCAATTGCACACTCAATTTAATCCGCGAGCGAATTCTTAATTCTACAAACGAGAAACACGTGATTACTCTCGGCCTCTATCCTGTTGCAACGTCGTGAAAAAATGTTGAGAAGAAGTGATATTCAAGGTCGCGACAAAGTACAATGAATGAGAAATTCTCAAGCAAAAGAACGCACAATATATCGATCGATTTCTTTCTCACGACGCGTGTCTCGCGAACTTTCTCCTTATTTCTAAAGATCGCGAAGGAAAGATAGGATGTATGTCGGAACATTTTTTTCTCGCAAGAGTGTACTTCTCGAAACATATCATGCATTCTGTTTTTATCTGATAAGTAGATAACAATGAGTGGATATCTAGATAAATCGTAATGTAAGCTATATGGATATGTGTGCATGATTACAATATAAATGTAAGAGTAGAAAAGACTTTTTATATATTTTCTGCCGGAAACAATCAGATGATTACGTTTTGAAATTTCACGATATCAAATCAATTTCAAGTTACCAATTTAAAAAAAAAATATTATAGATACATAGTTCTACATAATATAAATTAACGCGCAGAACATGTACTCAACTGTCTCTAAAACTATACATATATTTGCATGTCGCTAATAAAAAAGATATGTTAAAAATCGAAGATCGAGGAAGCGAGAAATAAATTAAGACTTGAAATAAAGGAAGAACACACGTGACTTGAGTAACAA